CTCCCCCCCCCAACCCCCTGGTATGTGTCTGGCCCTGCTGTCCCCCTCCCCACAAGCAGACCCCTGTGCACCACCTCACGCTCTGCACCGTCACTGGGGTCAGACGGGTGCTGTGTCTCGGCAGGTTTCTCGCCTCCAAGGAGCAGTTCCATGCCTACCTGCGGGCCGGGGGTGAGCCCAGCAGCGGGCGCGAGGAGGAGAAGGAGGAGGAGGAGAAGGTCGAGGAGAAGAAGGAGGAGGTCAGCAGCTGCCAGGGCGAGCCCCCTGCCAAACGGGTGAAGTCAGAGGACCTCGGTCAGGACGGGGAAAGCCGAGAGAATGCTGGAGCAGAGGAGAAGGAGCCCACGGAGCGGAAGCGGGCCCGGGGACAGAACAAGAGCAGGCCGTGTATGAAACCCAATCACTACGAGCAGAGCAGGCTGTGCCCGTCGGTGACACAGGTAGGGTGCAGGGGCCCTGCTCTGCGCTACTCTGGGGTGGGAAATTTGGGACCCCAGTGGGCCCTTCCTGCTCTGGGGCTGCATTTATTTTTAAGTCTAGGGAAGCACATTGAAGACAGAGCCGCAGCCGGGCAAACTGCCAGCAGGGAGAGCGCAGCAGGGGGCTGTGCTGGCAAAACCACCTCCATTGGCTGGCTGGGAGAGGGTGAAGCAGGTTGAGCTGAGTGGGACAAGTAAAATGTCAGCTTCCCTGAAGTGGTAGTGCTAAAATGTCCCCCTCAAGTGGGTGCGTCACTGCCCTTCTGTGGCACGTTTCAGCAGTCAGCTTCCTGGGAGCGTTTCATGGGGCACCCGACGTCACCCAGGGAGCGATGGGTGCTCAGAGCTGTTCTGGCCCCTCTGGGCTGGGGCAGACCCAGGCTCACCTTGCTTGTGCTGGAAGGTACAGGCTTGCCCAGGCAGGCAAGCAGAGGGCAGAAGTTTTAACCTTCTCTTTATTGTTTTAAGGGGTGTGCAGAGAAGTGCTACTTTGGCCCACGGTGCCGCTTCCTTCATGACATTGGCGAGTACATGGCCGCGAAGCCGGCTGACCTGGGGCGCAGCTGCGTGCTCTTTGAAACCTTTGGCAAGTGCATTTACGGCGTCACCTGCCGCTTTGCCCAGGCCCACCTCGGGGACGGCTACCAGAACATCGTCAACACGGACCTGGCCAAGCAGTGGGAAGGGAAGTCGCTGGTGAGGAACAACCTCTCCAAGGACCTCCAGCACCAGCTGCGGAAGAAGAAGTTTAGCTTCAAGAAGGCTGATGAGTACCTCCGTGGTTTGGCCAAGCCCCACAGTGATGGTGGGAAGGAAGGCAAAGCCACGGGGCATTCTACAGAGGAGCAAGAGGTGTCCAACTGCACAACACCCCGGGAGGGTCTGGGAGACAGCTCTGAATGTCCTGTGCTACCAGAGCAGGGAGAAGATTCCAAACCAGACGCCTTGCAGTGCCCCAGCCCCACAGCTGGTGAGGAGGCTTTGTCTGTGAAAACAGTGGGCCCAGTGACAGATGAAGACATTATAAAGCTGCGGA